TTTGCTTACATGGTGGTGTTTTCCATAAAGATAATCTTTAAGGTATTGTTGCTCGCCAGCCATAATCCAAAAACCTTCTTATCATCTGAAGTAGCTCTATATTCTACATGCAGACCGGACTTGGTAGCTAACCATAGGCATAACGTCATCGCTGTCAGGGAGGCGCCGTTCTCGATGTCCGTATAACTCATTTCTCCACTCCGCAAGCTGATGACGATACTTTCTTGTTTTTCTTTAGAGAAAATAAGTAGTCACTCGCTTTAACATATTCACATGAATGTCTACCGATGATTGAAGGTTCAATCTGTTTGAGAAATCTGAATTTTATGTTTTATAATAAACTTGAACACACGTAGTCAAGCAAAAGACGGCTGAAATAAAAAAACAGCTACGAACAAGAAAAGCCACTGGTTTGTTGCAGGAAGGAAGCTGCAGCTCGACTAGCGGTTCCAGTTTTTTTGTTTGAAAAGTGTCAGCTATCAGGATACGCTTTGAAAATGCTGTATTTCATTCAATAGAACAGGCCGGGTTGTTCAACGAAGAAGTGGACAATTAAAAAACGCTATCAAAAGTGATAAATCTCAATCCAGTAAATAGTGCAAGACATTTCTTGATCACTTATCCACTTTATTACGATTTATCCGTTGGATAGCGCAATTGTCCTTTAAACAATTGGGCCCAGGATATTTGACTAGATAGACAATTCAGTCCCCGCTTCCCAGATTTGAGTCAAAGCGTAAAGTTTTAAGTTTATCATTTATATCAAATGTGCCAACGGACTGATTCTCTTTGACTTCAGCTGCAACATACCGCATCGTTCAAAGGAGGACTTTTGTTTTACACTTTATGGTATTTTTGTAGTTTTTCCAATTCCCTAACCTATCACGTTCTTGGCTGATCTTTTTCTATCGTGCTTGACAGCGTCGTCAAGACGTTTCACTTCGTCAACATTTAGGAGTTCCCAAGTTGACTGTAGCTCTTCATTTTTCCAACTCCACCATTCGTCGTAATGGCGATACTCCGCCTTCCCTCCTTTAACAAAAAAAAA